CCTCGCGGCCAGAGACCCTGGCAACTCCTGGGCTGCATTTGCCCTTTGGCCTACTGACAGTTTTCTGGATCTAAAAGTTAATTATGACTGAGCTCATGGCAAAAATGCCTTGTGGGGGTCCAACCTTTGTACTTGCCCTGCTGAGATGTTGCTTGGGCTGTGCTGTGTCGACCGCAGGACGCGGAGATAACTGGGCTTAGTGAGTTGTGGCCTCAGGGCCAGCCTGGCGTTCGGTTGGGACACGACATGCAGGAGCTTTCTCTGGCTACCCCAGGGCTTTAGCTGCAGGGTGCTGCTGGGCTGAAGCTGGCGGTGTTTAGGCAGGTCCTTCAGCCCACAGTGTTTGCTCTGTGCCAACAGGGTCGTGGCTGCTGCCTGACTTCTTGCTCACCTGTTACAAGGTCTGGGTCTAACCGTTGCTGAAGGAGGGAGTCCCAGAAAGAATCTCAAGTCTCTTGTTTTTTTCTTTATTTGCAGGCCTCGAAAAAGCTGGTGGCAGCCACAGGCCAGCAGTGCCTGCCTCTGTCTGTAGATGTCAGGCAGCCCCAAACCATTGTGGCAGCAGTGGATGAGGCACTGAAAGAGTTCAAGCGGATTGACATCCTCGTTAATGGTGAGCTGCTGGAGTGGGCAGGGAGAGGATTTGGTACAGACTCCTTGCTAGGAAGGGCGTTTGCCTGCATGGTGGTTGTATTTGCCTGGTGTCTGACTTATGCTGCTTTGGCCTGGGAGCATCTGGGCAGCCCCTGGGAGCGCAGAGGGGCTGGGCTCAGAGGAAGCAAAGACCTGTTCTTAATGTGTGGCCATACAATCATCCCTGCTCTCACTATACCAGCACCCTCCTGCTCTCAGGCTGGCCGTGCTGCTGGGCACCCAGAGCCACAGGCTGTTCATCCCCTTATCAGGGCCATCTCCACGTGCTCCCCAGTCTACCCAGACGGTATCGCTCACCGTCCCTCTCGCAGAAGTGCCCTGAACCTGCCTGGTCTCTCCTGGCCCCATCCTGACTGTGCTTCCGGCTGTTTGTTCCTCAGGTGCTGCAGGAAACTTTCTGTGCCCAGCCAGTGCCCTGTCCTTCAACGCCTTCAAGACAGTGATAGATATCGACACCATTGGCACCTTCAACACCTCCAAAGTCCTTTTTGAGAAATATTTCCGGGTAAGTGGAACCAGAGCCAGAGGGCTCGGTGGAGAGGCTCCTGGTAGGCAGGGGATTAGCGTCAAACAAACCACACTTTGCTCCTGAGAAATTCATGGAAGTATGGAGAGCAGAAGGCAGCACAGCAGCCATTTGCCCAGGGCTGTGCTGCCGAGCCTCTGCCACGCACTCACCCTGCTCACATCCAGTCCGTTCCCTCACAGGGATGGCAGTCCCTGTGCAGGAACTGGGAATCCTGCCCGTTCCCTAGCCCTGGATGACCGTCCCTCCTAGCCCAGCTCTCTTGTCCCACCGCTCCCCCATGTGACCTCTCGTGCTGCTCCCTGCCTAACTACATGTCTCCTTTCCTTCCCCAGGACCACGGTGGGGTCATCGTTAACATCACGGCAACCCTGAGCTACCGAGGGCAGGCCCTCCAGGTGCATGCTGGTACTGCTAAGGCTGCCATAGGTACCTAAATGCTCCTTGCTGGGGCTCCGTGAGCTGTATGGGGCCAGTAAGGAAGCCTGTTCTTCCCAAATATTGGGATGGGAAGATGTTCTTGGGAGAGGTGAATATGAATTGGTGTGGTTATTACGTGCCTGGGTTTGGGATGAGACTCTTCTAGGGCCCTTTGCTCTTGGCCAGAGACTCCTGTGGCTTTTTGCCCTCCCCCAAAAGTTGCTGAAATGGCTCTGCTTTCCATTTCTCATTCCTGTTGTAATCCCTTCCCAGATGCCATGACACGTCACCTTGCTGTGGAGTGGGGACCCAACAACATCCGAGTGAACAGCTTGGCACCGGGCCCCATTACAGGCACCGAGGGCTACCGGCGGCTGGGTAAGGCAACCTGGGGCTCCTGTCTGCCTCGGTGGTGGCTCATTGGTGCCTGTCTGGGGCTGTGACGGACCACCGGTGCCATGCAGCCTGTGGGGCATCTGATGCAGCCGGGGCCGTTGCTGCTGGGCATGGCTGTCCTGTGACTCAGCTGGCACGTCTTTTTGGGGGAGCAGCCCTTCCTGCATCCTCTGTACCTCATAGGGCACTGATTTTTTTTTTTTTCTCTGTCAAGTGGCAGCTTTTTGTGCTCTCTGACGCCATGACGTAACATGCTTCCTCAGAGCTCAGCCTGGCCAGCTGCCTTGCCTGATGGTTTAGCTCTTGCAGTCTGTTCAGTGAGGCGCTGGCTCAGCCCTGGAGGCTGGGAAACCTCTCTGAGGTCCCGTCTTGAACTCACTGCTGCAGTACAAATCCCACTGCTGGGCTTGAGCTCCCCTCGTTTAACTCTCTTCTCAGGCCTTTGTCCCTGGGGCTGTCCCCAGAGCTGTGCCAGGATCTCATCTAGGTTCCCTGGGACTCTCGGCAAGCCCCGTGCAAGCAGTGTTGCAGTGTCTGGCAGGCAGTCGTGGTGGGAAGGTGGTCCCATGGTCCTAGCTGACTTTCTTCTACCACTCTTAGGTGGGAGATTTGCTGAGGAAGCAAGCCAGTTTGACATGATCCCCCTCCAGCGCGCAGGGAACAAGACGGAGATAGCCCACAGCACGCTGTACCTGGCGAGCCCCCTCTCCTCCTACGTGACGGGCACCACCCTGGTCGTGGATGGTGGGAGCTGGCTGACCTCTGCCAACAACTTCCCCGCCTTGCTGGGTATTGCTTCATCCTCTGCTAAACTCTAGGTGACGTGCATTTCCCCCTCTGTGGGATTAGAGCAGGGCTCGTGTCAGAAACCCTGTTGCTCCATGGTACAGGGGCATGGTTGCCGTGGCAGTGGGTACAGAATTACCTTCTTCAGGTGCCTTGGTCATCTCGTACCAGGCTCTGCCCCTCCTGAGGCAGCTGTGTGGCACATCCTCTCTTAAAGGAGAAGGGGCAGATGTGGGGTGTCAGGGTCTCTGGGTGAGGGCAGCCAGCCTAGGTCTTGACTTGGCAACGCCTGTTCTCAAACCTTCCTCTGCTTTTGGGAAGGTGGAGCAGGGTCACCCCCCATGCTGTTGTCAGAGCAGGCACAGAGCAACCTGGGGAACATCTCCGAGTCCTCCTGGACAGTCCTAGGGATGACTTGGGAAGGGCAGGAGAACTTGCTGGGGTTTTCCTCTGAGCCTGCAGTTGACGTGGTATCGCTTGGCACTCCTGCTGGAAGATGCTTGTCTGGACACCTCCAAGTGTCCCCTGACGCTTCGTGATGCCCCTTTTCTGTGCCCCACCAGCAGGACTGGGCACAGGGAGTCCTGACAGCCTCTGCCTCTCCTTTCTTCCTTGCATGAGTTCCTGCAGCGTGTCTTGCGTTGCGGTTGAACGGCACGTGGGACTCGTGCTGGCCGTGTATGTCTGCGGAGGTGGGGAGGAAGCTGGCGCCTGGTTACTGGGGCCTGGCGCTTTCTGGAAGAGGGGTCTCCTTGTTTCCCCTCTCCCCCTGCTTGGGTCCTGCCTGGCAGCCTCCATGAGCAGGGCAGGCCCAGGCAGGACTGCGTACCCACCTCCGTGCTGTCTTGCAGATTTCTGGGCTGCAGGAGCAAACCAAAATCAATGATGGACAGCCTGGGATTGACCGAAACGTAACCGAACGCTGCTGCTCTGGGACATCTCGGGGTGACGTCTCCCCGAGTCGGAGCCGATAGCTGCTGCCTCTGATCAGCGACTGGTGGTGGTGACGCTGGCGATGCTGCGTCCGCCTGGGGGAGGGGGTGCTGGGTGGGGAGCAAGCCCACCCCCATTCTGTGCCGTTACTTCTGAGCTGTCGTGGCTGAGGGCGCGGGGATGGCGCGGGGTATGCAGGCTGTGATGCTCACTGTCCGTTTGTGTCTCCCGCTGAGCTGCTCTCCTGGCCTTTCCCGAGTCCCAGGCACTGCCACCCATGGATATCCCTCCTCTTCCTCCCCACTCCCCCATCTCAGCCTGAGAGCTGCCCAAGACCCCCACAGCAGCTCCCTTTTTGGGAGGGGGGAGTAGTTCAGCCCGTCTGAGGTCGAGATCAGCCT